CAGAAAGAGTTGGCATTTACAAGGAATGGATCATAGTATACACCTGCAACTTTGCCTCAGGCCGATTTTATTGCACCTAGGCTCTGTCATAATGTAATCCAAAGGGACCTCGATCATGTGGATGGTCCACAGAATATCACACTGGTCAGTCATATCGATAGCATGTTAAGTGAATCTGATAAGAAGGAAATGGCAAGTGGTCGGGAATGCTGGTAAGACACAAGCCCGTCAGGGGCTGGAAGATAAAAACTAAAAAGACGAAGAAGTCTGCCACAAAATAAACATTTTTTTTTTTTAAGCTTGATTATTTATTTTGAGAGAGGGAGTGAGAGCGAGTGGTGGAGGGGCAGAGAGAGGGAGAATCCAGAGCAGGCTCCACACTGTCAGCACAGACCCCGATGTGGGCCTCGAACTCATGGACTGTGAGATCATGACCTGAGCCAAAATCAAGTCAGTCGTTTCACCGACTGAGCTACCCATGCGCCCCCACAAAGTAAACATTTTTAGAGGCACAGCGTTCTGGGGCTTACCAGGACATCTTTTCTCTGCTAAAGGATAAGAAATTGCACCTTGTGCCTCTTGCCACTAAAAAAGGCACAGAACATACAGGCATTTTGGAGGCAGTATTTATGACATCTGGGAAACACTGCTCTGGTCTAGCACCAGTTTAACTGGGACTCAGACCAGAAGAGAGCTCTGTCGTGGATCCAGGTTAGAGCATAAGAAACAGTGCTGCCTGGGCCATATGACCCAAAGGATTCTAGGGTACGAGGTTCATCCGTGGTAAATAAAAATGCTGTGTGAAATACTCAGGAAGCCCAAATGTGACCGTTGCAGGGTACTTGGGCAAGGCCATGCCACCTGCAGCAGAGAACTATGCGCTTCTCTGAGCAGCTTCAAATGGGAGCTTCTGACACACCGTTGGGACCCGGAAGAGACTCTTAATTACGAGACATCAGGCAATTATGCAATGAGAGCTGCCCACCCTGGGCGAAGCTTGTTCCGACATAAGACCGGGGACCCCAGCAGCATTCCATTATAAGATGGAAACAGTGTGTCTCAAGACAGGACTCACGCAGGTCTCCAAGTTGTAGGTAAGCCGTACCAACGAGTACTTCAGATGGCACACCTCTCGCTACTCTTACGTGGACTTTTCCTTAAGCTCATAGCTCCTTGAAGTTTCCCCAAGACCAATGGATGGAGGAGGACAAATCCTCATCTTGGCATGTTAACACGGGTTGAAAATAGACAGCCACTACAGCCCATCTGGGCTAAAAGACGGGGGTGGAAACAAATTCTGCCAGCGGGTATCTGCTTTGGTGCTCCCGGCCACCTACTCTGTATGGAGAGAAAATGGCCCCCCAAAAGTTTATGTGGAAATTCACGGGCAGGGGCAAACGGCCTGGCGGGTCAGGTAGTGGCCTAGCAAAGAGCAAGATTAGAAAATCACGAAGGAGCACCTGGGTGGCTCAGCTGGTTAAGCCTCCAACTCTTGGTTTCAGCTCAGGTCCGTGATCTTGTGGTTTGTGGATTGGGGTCCTGCATTGGGCTCCACACTGACAGTGCAGAGCCTGCTCGGGATTCTCTCTCTCCTTCTCTCTGCCCTTCCCTCATTCATGCTCTCTCTAAATAAACAAACAAACAAACTTAAAAAAAAAAATCATGAAGAAGTAGGTCTAGAGGCAAGCATGTGAATGAATCAGCGGGAGGAGGCGAGAAGTGCTAGCGAATGTTCAGCAGATCTTATCTATTACAGACAAGGCAGTAACTGACCAAGCGACAGGAAGACTCACTCAGCAGATGCCAGAGAGCTTCCGTCCTCAGCCACACAAGCCCTTGCACAATTGGCTTATGAACAGAGGAGCCGTGGTGGCAGCAGTGGGGTTTACGGGTGAGTTCAACAGCGTGGGCTGCCTCCCCTCAAGGCTGATCTAGCTATTGCCACTGCCACATATCCACCCACCAGGAATAAAGAGCACTGGAGCTCTCCACACGGTACAACCCCTTGAGAAAACCACCCAGCTACTTGGTGGCTAAATGATCCTATCAGACCCCCTTCATGCTAGAAAGAACAACAATTCATCCTGCGCCTAATTGTATTTATCATCAACTGTGGACCATGTGCTACAGTTAGGGCAGTAGTATGTTCCAGAAAGCCTCCTTTTCTAAGTAACCAGAAATCGTACGAGCCAGAATCCTGCAGGACCTGCAACCAAACAGAGTGACATTAACATGGGGAACAATCGGCTCTGAGTGGTACAAAGGGTGGAGCGGAGCAGATGCTACCGGTGTCTTGTTAAATCCCCTTTACAGCATCATCTGGGTGGCTCAGTCGGTTGACTCTTGATTTCGGCTCAGGTTCTGATCCCACAGTTCATGGGTTTGGCGCGCCCCCCCCCCCCCACCGCCCCCCACTGGGCTCTGCGCTCATGGTGTGAAGCCTGCTTGGGATTCTTTCTCTGTGCCCCTTCCCCTCCTGAGCGTACACACCGGTATTCTCTCTCTCCCCCTCTCTGCCCCTCCCCCTCCGCATGTGTGCTTGCGCCCTCTCTCTTTTTTCTCTCTTCTGCCCCTCCCCCTCCCGCACACACGTACTCTCTCTCTCTCTCAAAAAAAAAAAAAAAAAAAAAGAACTTTAAATCCCCTTTACAGGCTGGAGTGCCAGTGTTGGCTGCTAATGCCTCACACCTATGCTCTGCCCCAAGACTTGCATTTGGCTGAAGGAAACTGTCTAAGTCACAGATGGCTGGGAGGTTAAGCCACTTCCCACCCAAGGTATTGCTTGGAGTCAATGACTTACTGACTGATGCAGAAATATAGGCCCAGACCTTTCACTTCAGGGAGGTTCTCTAAACATCTGTACTCCCACTTCTACAGTGCACAGAGGTGCTGTCCAGCCACGGACTACATTTCCCAGCCTGTCTTGCAACTAGACGGGGCCATATGAAGATTGATTTATTTATTTATTTAGAGGGGGGAGGGACAGAGAGAGAGAGAGGGACAGAGAGAGAGAGAGATTCCCAAGTAGGCTCCACGCTGACAGCACAGAGCCTGACCTGGGGCTGGAGCCTACGCACAAACCGTGAGATTATGACCTGAGCTGAAACCAAGAGTCGGGTGCCTGACAGACTGAGACGCTCAGGCGCCCCCATATGAAGGGCTCTCACCAATGGAATGTGAGAGGAGGTAAGGCATATTCTCTCAAGACCAAGATTAAGATGTCTTTTCTGTTTCTTCTTTCCCTCATCCTCCTCCGGCACATAGATGACCCTACAGTAGGGAGGCCATCATATCCAAGGAGTCTGGGTATCCGAGTTACCTTGTGGAAGACTGCCCCCAATTAGTCATACTTATATTGTTAAATGAGAAGTAAACTTTAATTCTGTTCAGCCATTAAACTTTGTGGGTTTTTTCATTATAGCAGCTGGCATTATTCTAATATACTCTTTACCTGTGAACTCTAAGGGGATTCCTGAAACACTAGGATGTTGAACTGGATGTTTCCAAGGTCAATTCTGATACAGATTCTCTGGTACATTTCCTTGAAAAATGGCTGCATGATGAGTTATTTCACTTGAGGTTTACTTTATTGAACAGTATCCCTTAATTATTCTGTAGTAAACATGGTAAAGTTCAAAATCACTGGATCAGATGAACTGGATTCCAGTTCCAAGCTCCTCTCCCAGCCTGTGACAGAGTCCTGTAAAATATGGCTTTACCTCTCCAAACCTCAGTTTCATCATCTGCAAAGTGCAAATTAAATATTAAATGTACAATATGACCTCTTAGATCCCTTCTAGTGCTTATATTTACTGATCCTCTATATTGTATTAAAATCAAATCTCTTCAAGAAACATACAGCATCAGCTTTTTATAAGCCGGGGGAGGAGTGGGAGCACAGGACTTTAGTGCATTAATACTGCATTAAACTTAACCTATAATAAACTTTTTAATCACAGAGTGTCTTTTATTATTGGACTTCAAAATTTGGAGATGAGTCAAAGACACTAGGTTCTTTGCTTTTGGCTCTAGGTAGTCAAGTTGTCTCAAATAGCTCAAATACTCCATTCAATTAAGGCATAATTGGGGAAGATTTGTTTCAGAGCAGGGGGAAACAGGGCCAAGTGAGTCCAATGGGAAATGGCCGTATTTGGCAAGGCCAAGAAACACTCCAGGGCACTCGGCCATGACCGTGGCAATGACATATAGGCCCATGTTGAGAATTAATCCAAAATTAAGCTATAGGCTGAATGAAGTTTTGTTTCCTTTATAAACAAATAGGCATGGCTATGTTCCAATAAGATTTTGTTTACAGGTTTCAGTAATCATTTTTTTAAAATATAACAAACCTAAATAAAGTCATTTAGAAGGCACAAAATTATTAAAGAAAAATTTCCACAAGGAATTACAGATAAATCTTTTACCCTGGTAAATATCAAGTCTTCTAACATTCTGGGGGCATCTGGGTGGCTCAGTTGGCTAAGCTTCTGACTTTGGCTCACATCATGATTTCGTGGCTCTTGAGTTTGAGCCCTGTGCTTATAGCTCAGGGCCTGGAGCCGGCTTCAGAGTCTGTGTCTCCCTCTCTCTCTGCCCCTCTCCCACTCACACTCTGTGTCTCTCTCTCTCTCTCAAAAATAAATAAACATAAAAAAATAAAGTCTTCTGGGGTGGCTGGGTGGCTCAGGCGGTTAAGCGTCCAACTCTCATGGTTTCGTGGGTTCGAGCCCTGCGTTGGGCTCTGCACTGATAGTGGGGAGTCTGCTTGGGATTCTCTCTCTCCCTCCCTCTCTCTCTACCCCTCCTCCCCCCACGCTGTCTCTGTCTCTCTCAAAATAAATAAATAAAACTTAAAAAGTCTTCTAACATTCTGTGTCTCTGAATCACATAGATTTTCTTTCTCTTTCTCTTCTTTTTTTTTTTTTTTTTTAAGTTTTTGTATTGGGCGGGGCATTTAACTAGTCTCTTGATGTTTGTGTAAGAAACTTAGGCCAAGTATATATAAGGAAGGTGTCAGAAAATATCTGGGGCTTTCTCTCACCTTTTATTAGACTGCCTTTGTCTTACCTTTTGCATAATATGCAGATTCTCATGCGGCTGATTTTCCCACAGGTGAGGATGAGGACCAATCCTCAGAGGTTGGAGGCTGGATTCAATTCATGCTTGGGATTACACTTTCCCCAAGAGGTAAATTGTGTCCCATTCTAGGGGTTCACTATGGCTTGAGCAATGACATTCCATGAAAACACTTAAAGGAAAAGAAAAGGCAGATGATCTTCTCAGCCTCTTTACCAAGGGTTTGGCACTGCTCAACTCTCTACAGACCTGGCTTCCCTGTGTTGGGCTGTTTATTCCTTACACTCCTGTTACTAGTATAAAGGGCACAGCTATTTCCTTAAGCACCTGGAGGTAAGGCATTGCTGGCTTTCTCCATTGAGGGCCTATGGAGTAATCACAAGTTTCAGTACATACAAATACACCACACCACTAAAGGACGTGTTGAAGGATCCAAGACCTGGTTCCATAAAGCTTCTAGAACATGCTTTAAGCATCACCTGGTCTTAAAATCTCAGCACCATCTGACCCCCACCCCCTTTTACCTTCTATAGCCAATCATGTGCAAGTTTACGATTATTCAACATACAGAGGGTTTCTCATGTCATTCCATTCTAAGGCCACCATCACTGACCTCAGGCCCTGTCACTGACACGGTAGCGTGAGACTACAGTCTTTCAGCCCCATCTTAGACATACTGGCGGATGAAGCACTTAAAGCCCATTTCCCATCATATCAAGTTCTGCTGAATTCTTGACCATGGTTTCCTATTGCATTTGCACGTCTAAATCCGCACAACCCAATCCCAGAATCTCTTAAAACGAAGCTCAAATTTGCATTTTCCAGCTTTAATTTCCTAGTATCTATTTCACACATCCAACTCAAATATAACTAACTACCTGAGAAAACTTAAGCTTTCTTACATATGTGCCTTTTTTTTTTTTTTCATATGTGCCTTTTTTAATACTCTGCCTTGATTCTTCTTTGAAACTTTTTCCCTATGAGTAGGGTCTGGGTTTGTTTTGTGTTTGCTTTTGGTTTTTTGTTTTTTCCTACTGCTCCAAATGCAGAGCCACCATCCACATAGCTACTTTGCAGTACACTGTTGTGGAATCAAATTAGGAAATGGAATCCCTCAGGTACAATTCAAGACCGTCCCATCATACATATCTGACAGGCACTGTTCTACAGTAAAGGATGTAAAATTGAACCCAACAGGAATAGTTTCCTGCCCTCATGGAGCTTAAATGGGAGGTGGCAGTGCTAGGGTATAAAGATATTAAATAAATACATAAATAAATAAGCAACATATTTAGAGTGTCATATGAGATGTGAACTATGGAGTAGGAAGGGGAATATCAGAGGAATATCAGAAGTGGTTGGAAAGGGGGGGGGGAGTTGAAACATGGTGATCACAGAAGGTCGCACTGAGAAAGTGACATTTGAGCAAAATACTAAAAGGGGTAAAAATGAACTTGTGGCTACTGAGCATTCTAAAGATAGCCACAAGGCCTGCAAAGCCCTGAGGCAGGAACTTATAGTGTTCTAGTAATAAATAGCAAAGATTACAGAGTGAGTCAGGTACTGTGTGTGGGAGGAGACAAGGTTGGAGGGTCTTGGTAGACTAAAAGCCGTTGGAAAGACTTTGGCTTTTACCCTAAACCAAATAGCTGGAGACAATGCAGGGCACTGAGTACAGGGGTCAGTGATCTCTGCTATATTTTTAAAAGATCTAACTACTTGAAAGTAAACTGCGCAGGCCAGGGTAGAAGCAGGGAAACCATTTAGGAGCCTTTGTGATAAACTATGATGGTGACTTGGACCAGCATAATGGTGAAGGTTTTGAAAAGAGGTCAGATTCTAGAGATTTTTAAAAAATAGAGCTCCTGGGGTGCCTGGGTGGCTCAGTCAGTTAAGTGCCCAACTTTAGATCAGGTCTTGATCTCACGGTTTGTGGGTTTGAGCCCCGCATCAGGCTCTGTGCTGATTGCTCAGAGCCTGGAACCTGCTTCGGATTATGTGTCTCCCTCTCTATGTGCCTCCCCCACTCGCACTGAGTGTCTCTCTCTCTCAAAAATAAATAAACATAAATAAATAAATAAGAATAAGAACTGCTGACGGGTTGAATGTGGGATGTGTTTATCTCTCTCTTTGTTTTTTTCTTTGCTCATTTGTTTTGTTACTTATATTCCACATGTGAATGAAATATGTAGTATTTGTCTTAATCTGACTTATTTCTCAGCACCATACTATCTAGCCCCATCCACGTCATTGCAAACGGCAAGATTTCATTCTTTTTTATGTCTGAACAATATTTCATTGTATATATACACCACATCTTCTTTATCCATTCATCTGTCGATGGACACTTGGACTGCTTCTGTAGTGTGGCTATAGTAAATAATGCTACAAAAAAACATAGGGGTGTATATATCCCTTTGAATTAGTGTTTTTGGTTTGGGTAAATACCTAGTAGCACAACTACTAGGTTGTAGGGCAGTTCTATTTTTCACTTTTTTGTGGACTCTCCATACTGAGATTGGCTGCACCGGCTTGCATTCCCGCCAACAGGGCACAAAGGTACAAAGGTTCCCTTTTCTCCACATCTGGCCAACATCTGTTGTTTCCTGAGTCGTTAATTTTAGCCATTCTGACAGATGTGAGGTGATAGGTTTCTTTTTTAATTTTTTTTTAACGTGTATTTATTTTTGAGACACAGAGAGACAGAGCATGAACAGGGGAGGGGCAGAGAGAGAGGGAGACACAGAATCTGAAACAGGCTCCAGGCTCTGAGCCGTCAGCACAGAGCCTGACGCGGGGCTCGAACTCACGGACCGCGAGATCGTGACCTGGCTGAAGTCGGACGCTTAACCGACTGCGCCACCGTGAGGTGATAGTTTATTGCAGTGTTTTTTGTTTTTGTTTTTGTTTTAGAGAGGGAGAGGGTGCAAGTGAGTGAGGGGCAGAGAGAAAGGGGGGGAGAGAGAGAGAGAGAGAGAGAGAGAGAGAGAGAGAGAGAGAGAGAGAGAGAGAGAAAGTTAAGCAGGGCTTAAGCTCACCCGGTGTAGGACTCGAACTCATGAATGGTGAGAGCGTGACCTGAGCCTAAGTTAGATGCTTAACCAACTGAGCCACCCAGGTGGCCCTCATTCCAGTTTTGATTCTCATTTCCCTGGTGGTAAGTGATGATGAGCATTTTTTCATGTGTCTGTTGGCCATCTGCCTGTCTTCTTTGGAGAAATTTTGGCGATAATTGCAAATAGTTTTGGTCTCATCCACAGTTTTAATGAGAATGTTCCTTGTTAGCACACCCTGGGTTTTATCTCAGAGGCTTTCTCAGAAACCATACACAAGTGATATTAAACTACATTTTAAAAATTAGCATGACAGAAACCACCAAAAGCAAAGTCAAATGCAAGTGACAAACCATGAAACCGTATTTGTAGCTCATGCTATAATACTGTTTCCTAATAGTCAAAGAGCTCCTACAAAAAGATGAGAAACAATGATAAAAACCCAAAAGAAAAATTAACAGTGGATAAGAACAGACAGTTCATGAAAAAAGAGCCCCCTCTAAATGCTTTTTAAACATAAGACACTCAATATGACTCATAATAGCAAGTTAAAGCTATCATTAGATGATTTCCTCTTACCAGATTGACAAAGATCAAGAACGTAAATAACTCAGAGAATAAACCTTCTCAGAATCAACTTCTATGAAGGGCAAATTTAGCAATATCAATCAATATTTTAAATGCGTATCTCTGACCAAGCAATTTGACTTCTGGCTCTGTATGTTAGACATGTAATCACATATTTATGAAAAGATACACACACAGAGTTGTATGTTACAGTGTGGCACGTATTAAAAAAATTGGACACAATTTCTATATGCAATAATAGAGTAATGGTTAAATAAATTGTGGTATCTCCATAGGAAGCATCCATTAAAAATAATAAGGCAGCCTTGCAAAACATACTATTAAGAGATAAATATATCATTAAAAGAAAAAAGCAAAGTGAAGAATGGTTTATTTTTTAAGCTGTCATATGCATGTATATTTATAACTACATGAAATATCTCTGCAAGTACGCATGGCAAACTGATAAATATGATTGCCTTTGGAAAGCAAGTGGGTGGTTGGAGAATAATTGTGGGAAGGAGCTTTTTAAGCAACAATTTATTTATTTACTCATTTATGAGAGAAAGAGACCCAAAGCACATAAGTGGTGGGGAGAGGGGCAGTGGGAGAGAGAGAGGGAGGGAGGGAGGGAGAGAGAGAGGGAGGGAGGGGGAGAGAGAGAGAGAGAGAGAGAGAGAGAGAGAGAGAGAGAGAGAGA